GGGGGGGGGGGGGGGGGAAAAAAGGGACAGGATGATTTGGGGGGGGTCAACAAAATTGGGGGGGGGGGGGGGGGGGGCCTCCATCGTCCGACGCTGGGTGCGCCAGCAACGAGTGTTTTCGCTGCTGTTGCTTTTGGCAGTGCTTAGTGCTGCCTGTTTGTCATCCTCCACCGCTTTGTTCCCGACTCTTTCAGAGGGGTTGACTCCAATTCATGTTCACTAGTTTTTCTTAACTACAGCAGTCGGTCACGGTGAACGCGCACATTCCATCCAGCAAGCACCACACATGCCAAATCATACCACAACACACCACAACACACCACACCACACCACCCCGGCGCGGCGCGACAGACGTACGGCTTCGAGAACGAGTCGTGTACGCCCCCCCCGTCCCTTCGCGCTTGCGTACACAACGCGCGCACCCCACCCCTCCTCGCGGGAAACCAACGAAACAAGCCAACGCCCACAACCGAAACATCGCACGCGCGAAGACTATTGTAACGCCTAAAACAAGAGCCCTACACGCAAAATAACCGACACGAACATAGAAGAGAAGCCGGAGCTCACATGCCCGGAGCCGGCTGCAGATCGCACGAGGAAACAGTTCCCCCCTCCGCTCCTCCCGCGCGTGCCGGACACTCCCCACCCTCCGTCCTATCGCCGCTCGGCCTTCGAGACCCGTGATTGCTCCGTGATCCACCGCCGTGGTTGATGTGGTCGACGTCGATGTGGAGGTTAGAGGGTAGGCTATCGTGGCGCTGCTGCTGGCGCTGCGGAGCCGGCGACGCCGTGCGTGTCCAACCGCCCAGGAAAGGGCCCGGAGCACCCCACCTCGATCGCCTCCCGCCGCCGCCGCCGCCGCCGCTGCTGCCGCCGCCGCCGCGAGAAATATTAAAGCCGTTGTTCCCTGACTCGACTTCGTCGAAGTTACCTCCACCCGCCGACGCGCGCATTGGGGTTCCTCCAGCGGCGGTTGCGTTCGGCTTACTGCCGTTCCCGTCGCCGTAGCTGCAGCCGCCGCCGCCGCCGCCGCTGTAGCTCTTCCGCCGGACGCCTCTGGGCCAGCCGAACTGGGTGATGTTCCCGGTCGCAGTGGGCGTCACGAGGTGGTTCAACGTGCCCGCGGGGGTGGCGGCGGCCGGTGACGGGACCGAAGGGGCCTGGGACCCCGGGCTGTTCGCGCGGGAGGCGAGGGAGCAAGACGACAACGGGCCCGGGCTGTTTCAGGAACAGCCGTCCAGACCGTGACCCAAAGACGAGCGAAATATAATAGGAGGAGGGGGGGGGGGGCAGGAAGGAAGCAGGAAGGGGTAAACATTTTATTAGGAGGAGCGGGGGGCGGCGGGCAGGAAGGAGGCAGGAAGGGGTAAACATTTTATTAGGAGGAGCGGGGGGCGGCGGGAGGGTGGGCGAGGGGAGGGAGAAGCGGGAAGGGGTGGCGGTGTTGTTGTTTTCGGCCGATCTAATGGTGACAGTTCCCCCATTTTTCGAGGTGAGACGTGCTGCACTTTTCAGTGTATAGTAGAGTACTACATTTTTCGGTGTATTTTTTCGTACATGTACAACCATCCAGGGTCACACAGGAGGAGGGGGTAAACACAGGGGCTTCTTCTTCTTTTTCTTTTTCTTTTCGTGCCCCACGTTCCTCCTACGGTGCGTGCTGAATTTTATTTTTTATCGCGAGAAGGGTCCAGCCGTCCCTTTCCCTCATATACGGCGCTATTTGTCGAAATTTGGTACTCACAAGGAAAGCTTTTTCAGCTTTTGTTCGCTTTCACCCGCAAATTTGTAAACTTTAACTTTTCACCCCATGGGGAATCGAAGTCACGATTTTTTGCGACTAGCGGTTTCGAGGCTACCACTAGACCACCGGGGCGACCGGTGTTGGGTAGGGACGAAATTAGGTGACCAAGGTGGTCGTTGGTTCGGGGCGGGTCTTCAATGGGGTCCAACAGATTTTCACGCCAAGAAAAAAAAAAACGGGAAACAAACCCATTTTTGTTCAGCGTGCTCGGAAAACAACAAGCTTGTAATTATCTATTGTTGTTGTTGTTGTCTTCACATTAAAAACCGTTCCGGTCTCCGCTCAGTACCTTCTAATGTCCGTACTATACTATACTATACTATACTATACTATAACAGTCCAACTGACGCGGACGCCTTCCGTGGTCACAAGCCAACTGCCCCACCGAAGGGGGGGTACACCGTTCAAATAAAAAAATAAAAAATCGATACCAGAAAATATTGCTCCAAGGCGCGAATTGTTTTTGTACCCAAACGAACAGAAAAAAGAAGCAACTAAAAGGAAAAAAGGCCAACGACCGGGAATCTATGCATGCAGAAACGGGGAATGATCCGTCCTAAAATTGCCGAAGACAACGCGTTAGGATGTATTCAATCGACACTGACGCAATTCCGTAATAAAAAAAGCATACACGTACGGAGAATCGAACTCCGGGCGTAACCGTGGGAGGGTTACATGTTACCACTACACCACACGTGTTTTACGATGCACAGTATCAACATTTCCGATATCAAAATGAGAGAAAACAACTAACGATGGCCACGCCAACGTCAACGTTTCTACGTTACAGTATCGGCATTGTGCTGCTGAGGCGATCGAGGACAAGGGGAGGGGGCACCGTACGTCGCCGAATAATCCCCCCCTTCCCCCTCTGGACTTGCTGAAATAACCACGATACTTTGGACCGGAGGCAGCGAAGATCTTATCGCGATACGGACAGAGAGAGAGAAAAAGCTACCCAGGATGCATCATCGTTCCCTGCTGGCAGCGAACTCAATATACTGCTGTCGAGATATCAGGATTAGTCAATTGACCCACGGGCATGACGGCATGCTCTTCCATTCACAGCAGCGTATGCTACATCCTCATAACATCATCGTCTATGGTCTACAACCAGACGTCGCAAACGCCGCCAATAAACTGCGTGCGCGCTTGTTTGTGAACTTCACTACTAAGACTGAGCCAAACATAAGCGGCGCTCGAACGGGGGGAGAGAGGGGCGCAGGTCACACCTGCCACAGCGCCAGCCGCCGTCGACGTATCTCTCCTGCGACGGAAAAAACTCTCCCGTCCTCCGGGGGGGTGCGCGATGCGCCCATCGGGACCCCCTCCACGAAGGCGACGGGGAACTGGCGGGACAACACCGGGAGGGCGAGATCAAAACAACGGAACGGAAAAAAAAAAAAAAACGCAGAGCAACACTGGTCAATAGCTTCCACCAAAGCGGCAACCACAATCAGTTTTTTACCCGTCCTGGTGCTGCTGGTGCCTCTCGTTGGTCTTGTTTCTGCGGCTAAGTTCGTGGCAGAAGCCTGGCCCCTTTTTTAAGCTGCTTCAAAACAAAAGAGAGATACAAGGGGTTATAGAATTGTGTCCAGTTTGTTGGATAAAATTAAGTATAAATTAAAAATCACTTACACTTATCCTGTATTAATTTTTTTAGGGTTTAGCCTTGCTTTAGCCGGCGCTATTTTTGGCGCATCGTTTATTTTAGCTTCGTGGCAGAAGCCTGGCCCCTTTTGACCACGGTAACACGCAGGGAGGGAGGAAAACATGCTTCTGCTCCTCTTCCCCGTTCCCTTTTATGTAAACGGTAGGTCGAAATAAATGTAGTCGTGGAACGCCGATCAGCAGACACACAAAAAAAAGAGACGAGGTTGGGGTAGCATACGGCAAAGAAACACATAAAATAAGTCTTAAAAGGCGGGTTCTCTGTACGCGCTGACACAATCGAAGGGGGGTATGTGTGCCTTGCTCATTTCAACGAGTGATTTTGGCACTGCCATGAGCAGCAGCAACAGCAACGACAGAGGCACAGCCGCAGCAACAACAGCCACAACAACCACAGCAAAAAAAAAAAAAAAAACAACCACAACAACCACAGCAAAAAAAAAAAAAAAAAACACAACAACCACAGCAAAAAAAAAAAAAAAAAAAAACAACAACAACAACAACAACAACAACAAAGTACCGTGGGGAGTACGAGACATCCCGTCCCCGAGGAGTAGGAGTCGCCGGAAATATCGTCCACGCATCCAGAAGCTCGCCATCGGTAACCTGTCGAAACCAACCGTCAGTCAGTCGCCATCGGACACGGTTGAAAAAACGAAATACGTTACTTCTTCGGTTCCGAAGCTGAACCGATTACCATGTCCATGGTACGAATAAAACTATGGGCGTACAAACTTGTAGCAACGACCAACACATGCGACAGCGAGCGACTGTTTATTTCGTTCTATTAACGAGAATGAAATACCTTAGGTTACGGAGGAGGGGGGGGGAAGTCCGCCACCGAGGCCAAAGGTGGCACGCACAATCACTTACCGCTCCGAGGCGGAAAAAGAAAGACAGAAACCGAATCACACCGCACCTGAAGTTCGCCGTCTTTGCCGCCGGGTTCTTTTAAGGCCTCCAGGCCTTCCGGGGGAATGGACCCCTCAACCGTAACCCAGGGGTGACTGATCGCGGCCTTGAGGTTTTTTGGATGCTCCGGGTCTTTTTCCAGCTTCCGTCGTAGGAGGTTTTAGGTAATTGCAAAAGGGGGGGCCCCGTGCGGAGAAGGGGGGGGGGGGGTGAGGAAGCGGTCCTGGTGATGCAACGCACCACCTAAAACTACACACGGATGACGAAGAAAGAAAACGTCAAAATCGGATACCCGCTTAGTCAGACGAACAAGCAACAAGGTAGCACCTTCCGCAAGAAGACCGCATGCTGAAGAAACAGACATGACGCCTTTCATCTGTGGATGGAGATGAACTAGTTGCGTTTGGGCAACAAACAACAAAATTGTCCAAAACCTCTCCTGCCAGTAGAAAACATCAACCTCCTCGCGGTAAAGAAGGGTAGAGTGCACGTGGGTGGTCAACCTTAAAACACGTGGGATCGAGGGCTTGCGAGCGACGAAAATGGCTGGGACGTGACGACTTTGGTACCTACCATAGACGACGCGGAAGCCCGTACGTACGTGGTGTGGCTATCACCCGGGCAGACAGACGTGTTCTCGTCGTCAAGACTTGGGGCGGCCGACGCATCCCAACACAGCGCCCCAAAGCATTTATCAAACCAACTGACATAACCCAGTATCAACCCACCCTAACTGCGTGACACTTCTCCGAAGCCTCATTTGCAAGTAGTCGACTGCATGGCAATTGGAGGCGTACCTGTCGCTCAAAACTCCTAACAATCACATCCCTCGTCTCGCAAGCTTCGCCCGCAACATTTCGACACTCCGCCGAAGCCTCAAAAGCTCACCCGCAAGTAGCCGACCATGGGGTCGTAAGCCTCGAGGTTGGTCAAGACCCCGGACGACAGCGTCCTCGTCCCGTTCTTCAAGTCTGGCTCGTCCGCTACCGCCGCGGCCGCCGCTGCCACCAAACCACCGCCGCTACCACCGGCTCCCCCATACCCCACGCCCGCGCCGGCCGCGCCACCCCTGACCCTGATGCCGATGCCCCCCGCGCCCTCTAGGGCAGCCACCGAAGAGGGAGAGGAGGACGAGGGGGAAGGGAAGGAGAGCTCCCTGTGGGTGACCATGATCTCGAGCTCGGAATGATTGCCCGAGGGGGGCCAGAAGGGCAAGGTGCCGTAGACCATCTGGTAGAGGGTCACGCCCATCGCCCACACATCGCAGGCCGGGCTGTGTGGTGCGTGTTGTTCGCGTTTTGTTGGGTGGGAGCATAGGTAGGGTATCGCGAACGTTAAGTTTAAGAGGGGTGGGAAAGGTTTTGTAAGGAGCGGCGGTAACGTTGGGGGTTGATGCATATGCGCATGGTGTTGAAATTTCAACGATTACTGCAACACACCGCGGGCAGGGGCGGGTTCAAGTACGGTGATGTGACGGAGCAAACGACAACAACAACGACAACGACAACACCTACCTGACCGTCGTTGATGCCCCGAACAGCTCGGGCGGCGTGAAGGCCGGCGTCGAAATCAATTTCCCCTTCATCTTGGAAACTTCCTCGTCCTCCGTCTCCCCGGACTGGTAGAGCGAAATGAAAAATGACCACCACAAACGGAACACACGGTAAGAACGGACCGAACATGACGGAAATGAACGCGGTATTTGAGGAAGTACACCAGAGCCAGACGCAGAGAACCCGACTGGTGCTATGCACCGAACGGAGTAGACCGGCACCAACAGGGCGGAATGGGCTCGCAACAAAGTATCCAAGTCGGATCGAGGCTAAATTTCGTGTGTCATCGCCACCGTCAGGCAAAGGTCATGTTATAGAGACTTTAGTGTAGGACCCTCCGCCGAGCTAGATGTGCTCCATAATCCCATCGTCTAAACTTTCCCGCCAAATGGTTGGTCTCTTATTTCTTCAGCAAACCGTTTTTTAATTCCGGGCCCGTTTCTGTAGATGGGGACAAAAAATAAAGGTAAGTGGGTGCCGCGTTGCACAAGATACCATACGGTCCTCTTCGCCATGGAGTTATCGAGCTTTACTACTTGGTCTAGGGGGGGGGGTTATCTTACGCTTCCTACGGTACACGCAACTTTAACGTGTAACTGTTCCCGGACCTCAAGGTGCTCGGGGGACGCTACCCAAGAGCCTCGAAACAAACACCATCAACACGAAAATGCTGGGGAAGATACCGACGCTGTTGTTGTTCCCCGCACTTGCCTGGCTCTGCAGCATGACGGCGGCGCCGAAGTCGGCGATCTTGACAGTCCCGTCCTTGGCCACGAGCAGGTTTTGGGGCTTGATGTCGCCGTGCACCACTCCGTGCTGGTGGAGGTGGTGGAGGCCACGGATGCAGCCGAGGAACTTGTCTCGAGCCTCCTCTGTGTCCATGGGCGAAACCACGACGCCCTCGGGGAGAAGCGGGCCATCCGCGACATACTCCTGCAGGGAGAGGCGGAGACAGAGAGAGAGATACACAGAGAGAGGGAGAGGGAGGGGAAGGACAGAGAAACAAAGAGAAGGAGAAAGAGAGAGATGTGGGTGTGGTTGTGCTTGAAGTGATTTTTTGCAAGTACTGGGAAAAATTTATGTTTGATGTTTGATTAACGAGGTCGTGTCGTTCCTTATACTCGCTGATACGGTTGTCGCTAGCGTCGACAACGCGCGGGGGTGGGTGGCAAACGTAAAGACAAGACCGTTCGTACAAGGCTCCTTCTTGTGCCAGGCTGGGCTCGAAAGAAAAGCTGGACTGGGAGAACCCCACCGTCCTACCCTCTTTGTCCGGGTGCAGTGTCTCACATCATCGCACCCCTATAAACGCACGCATGACCGCGACTAAACCTACCCCCCACCTACGCAGTATGCCGTGCCTCCTACGCGCACCTGGATCATGTAGAGCTGCTGCGCCTTGGGGTCATCGATCACTTCCCACAGGGTCACGATGTTCGGGTGCCTCAGCTTCTTCATCACCGCCACCTCGCGCCTCAGTGTCTCGGCCAGGTGCTGGTGGCCGCCCTGCCCCTGCCTCGACCGTATGCCGCCGCGCTTCCGCTTGTCCATGACCTTCATCGCGTACTCCTGGTCTCAGGATAGCACGCAACGTGTCGATTTCGGTGGCAGAGGATGAGAGGCGTGACGACTAACGCCCAGACTATCCTGTCGCTCGAGTTTATCAACTCCATTTCTTCCGGTTTCCTCAGTCTCCGTATCTATACCTTTGCTCTCTCAGTCTCAGGTTTCAGCCTATCTCTTCCGGTCTCTTCTGTCTCTGTGCCGACACCTCTGCCCTCTCAGTCTCAGGTTTCAGTCTCAGTCTCTGCTCTGTCTCTGCCGTTGTTTCCTCTTGTTGTGTCTCTCCCGCTCCTTCTTGGCCATGTCTACGACGTCGACGACCGAAAGGACTACCACCGCCCTGTGTGTATGTTCCAGTGCCATGGGCGGCACGGCATTTTCGTCACGATGGAACCGTGTGTGCCCCCCCCATCGCCATCACGATCATGGGCACCTCCCCTTCCCCCCAAAGTAGCAAGGAACGATTGGCGATGTGTCTTGTGGGAACAATGCTCCGTCCGCTCGAGGATACCTGGTCACGGGTCTATAGAAGCCGAAATCAAATAATTAGACTTAGTCAGCGCTGACTAGTCTAATGGTTTGATTTCGGCTTCTATAGGTCTTACAACTCAATAAGGCATGGCGAAACATGAGCACGCCCCCCCCCCCCCCCCCCCCTATCGAGGCCTACCCAACACCCACCATGCCGGTTTCCCCGTCCCGGCAAAGGTGTACCGACCCGTACGAGCCTTTCCCGAGCTCGCAGATGATGCGGTACTTGTTGATGATGATGGTTCCGTTGTTGAGCTTGCGCTTCACCACCTTGACGGTCTCGCGGAAGCTCGACCTTCGAAGCGAGTGCGACGACGAGCTCGCGGACTGGCCGCAAGGGGGCGTCAAGCTCCTGGTCGGCGAGGCCCCCCTTACCTCTGCCGCCGTCCATCTCCCCCTGCCTCCGGGCCTCCCCGTCCCGCTATCGGCGGGGCGGCCCCCGCGACGACCACCGCCGTCTTCGCCGCCGGGGCTGCGGCTGGACGGACTTACGCTAGATCGGGACCGGATCAGGCGCCTCGGCTGTTTCCCGCGGCCCCGCTGCTGCAAGAGTAGACGGGGAGGGAGGAGTTAGCTACTGTATTCATCCTCACCCGTGACCGCTTTGCATCCGTCGTTTCCTAGAGTCCGTCCGCCCGGCGAGTGCGTGGTTTCTTCTATTAATAAAAGTGGCATCAAGACAGCGTCTTTTTTTCGTTTGGAGCTTGCAGGGCCTTCCTTCCGTGTGATCGAGGATGCCAATGTATTCCTTGTTGATGACAAATACGTGCCCGTGTTTGCTAAGCAGCCGCTGTCTGTCACTAAGACTCACCATACTCGGGAAAAACGAAGAAAATGCGCGAGCGTCAACACGACTGTCCGGACAGAGTGGCGGCAGCAACAACTCCCCTTAAAACGATGACGACGACGACAACGACAACGACAACACACCTGCTTTTCCTGCTCCTCCTCCAGCTGCTGAGCTCGCTGCTCACGGTAGAAGGCCCGCTGGTAGGCCACCTCCTCCAACACCTCCTGGAACCGTTTCTCGTTCATGCAAGACCGGAAGTCTTCCTTGGTGATGCATACACACCGCACCTGCGTTTGTCGGGGGATAAATTAGACAATAAAAAAACGGCGGGGGGGGGGGGTGTACTCATAGTCGTGCATGCCGTAGACGTTAGACCATTGACCTCGCATCCCTACAAAGCCGGGACGGAGCACGCCGGGTTCTCACCGGACCAGGCTCTCACATCACCAAGCGCGAAGCGCCGTGGGCTATTCGGCGAGTCGCATGAAGGGTGCGCTGCATCCTGCTACGGGTGTTCGGCATCTTGTGCTTACTTCCTTGCGTATGGATGACAGCTGCGTATGACTTAGTTTATTTTCTGGTGCTTTCACTTCCAGAGACAGTTGTAAGCGCTGTGTAACTGCCTCGAGGATGATTGACCATTTTAACGCAACGTGGCGCGATTTCCCCCCCTCGCGCGGAGTGAGGGTTCTCGACCCCGCACAACATGATCTACTCGACCACCATTGTGATTACCGCAAAAAACAAAAGAGGTAAGAAAAAGACGGTGACCTGGTTGCCGAGTTCACGAAGTGAATTGGCTTGTTTCACAACGTCGTTGCCAAGCGACGAAAACCCAACCCCGATGGCAAACACCGGGGGGGGGGGGGGGCTTTAAACTGGAACAAGTGCGGAGGAATCGGGCCATTCGTGAGCCAATAATCGTAGCTCGGGTGACCGGCTAGGTGCTATCCATGCGGCCTTCTACAGGGACCACCACTATGCCTTGAACCTGGAATACTACGGTCCATGAGGATCAACACTCCAGGGTTTACCGACAAACATGAACGACGCCACATCAGTCGGTCGGTTCAACGAACCGCTAACCACACAAATCGCTACATGTAAAAACCCGTCGTTGCAGCCGTGAGAGTAGAAACGCGAATACATGGATTAGGCAAAGGCGACAAGAGCGTCTCACCTCCTCCGTAGCCCTAACGCTGGCGTTCCGCGGTTCTCCGTAGATGAGGGCCAGTTCTCCGAAGTAGTGTCCCTCGAACATTTGTACGAGGAGTTTCGTCCGCTCCATGTCGGTCTCGGGGTCCATGGACGTCTCCAACACGTCCACCGTGCCCTTCACGATCATGTAGAAGACATCTCCGTCCTCGCCTTGCCGAACGATGTACTGTTCTCGTCGTCGCCGTCGTTTTTGGCGATGGTGATGGTGATGGTGATGGTGATGATGGTGATGTTGTTGTTGACGACGACGTTGTCGTTGTGTTCATGGCGGTGTGTTGTGATGAGGCGTTGGAGTCGTTGTTGTCGTTGGTGATGATGATTTATGGAGAGGGTACAAGGATATCGGTGTCATCGTACAGATAGCAGTACCGGCAACAAACGTTGTTCTTGATGCGGTTGTCGTCGCAAGAGCGCGATGAGGTAACGACAAATAGAAATAGTCCGTGTTCAGTGGCTCCACTTTGGTAGTGGAAGCCGCTCTTGGTTGCAATACACCCAAGTAAACCAATCACTTGGTGCCAAATGAAACACACGGATGAATCGCGACGTTCTTTTCGTGGACCCCGCGGCCAACAGCAGGCGGTGAGAACTGCCGACAAAGCTCCAATCAACGCAGGCAAGTAACTACAGCAGTCGTGGCTCCGATATTAGAGGGTGGTGTGACAAAGGCCCTGAACCCTCTTATATCGGAGCCCCCTCTTATACCGGAATAAGAGAGTACTCAACTATACTATAGTCGTGACAACCGATTTGGACCCTCTCATATCGGAGCCCCCTCTCATAAGGCACCCCTTTATATCGGGGCCACGACTGCAACCGAGTCTTCGAACTCATTGCGAAAACAAAATCAGAAACACAGAAGGTGATGGGCGCGAAAACCGAACACAGGGCGAGGACACCCTCCCGCTGCTCCTATCGAGACGGGGAAGCAAGTAAAAGCAAGCCTTACCTCCAACTCACTACTGCACCAAACGTCACAACAAACGCTACCTCCAACTTACCATTGCGATCAACACAACAACAACGACGCCTACAACCAACTCACCATTTTTTTAAACACACCAACAACAAACACAACCACACAGCAGCACGAATATCGCAATACTTAGCACGTACATCTCCCGCGGAAAAGGTCTGGTGCCGCAGCGTCTGCTGTAGGGCGTGCAGGGAGAGCATCGGTAGGTTCGCCAGAAGTGGAATCTGAAACAAACAGGTTTCCACAAAAAAAAAGTAATGTAAACGTCGGGCAAGGACCCTTTCGGGGATGAAGCTGGGTGGGTGGGTGGGTGCGTGGGTGGAGGGTATCGAGCAAGCAGCCGCTGTGCCCCCGGCACCTAGGCAACGAAGCCAAACGCGATGGTGTCTAGCTCAAACAGTCTCGGAGAAGATGAGGAACCTAGCCCCCACAGTTTCCCAACAAACCCAAGCGACAAGAGTACAGAGTGATGGGTCAAGGGGAGAGGGATAGGGGGGGGGGGTAGGTTCCAGTTATAAAGTGCAAAAAAAATCGTAATACACTCAATACTTCTATCAAATACGGTGCGTCGCCCGTACGGATAGCAGCACGTGCTTACCTCGCCCAAAATTCGCAGATAAATAAGCAAAGACGCAGGGTCATGACCAATCCCAAAGTTCACCAGTTTTTTACCGCGGTATCAAAAACCGCCGCGTGCCGGGCGGCGGCGGCGGGACTCGCACCTCTTTCATGAGCACGAACATGCGGAACGGCTCCCACACGCTCATGTCGTCGATGTCGATGCTGGCCACGTCTACCACGGTCGACGCGGCAACCGTGGTCGCCACCCTTACGCTCTGCGCGGCAGCACGAGCAACGGCAGCATGAGCAGCAGCAGCGAGCCAAGTTCGCCAAAACAAGGCGCCGGCAGATGGAGACAAGGGTGGGGGCTTTGTATTTGAGCAACGATTCCATGGACTTGAGTAGAGTAATTAGGTCGTGGTACGCTCGACATCCCTACGAAACCATGGGGGGGGGGGGGTGCAAGTCGAAGTTTCCCCGGACAAGCCGGCGGGGTGGGGGTAATACAAATTTCTTGCCGCCGCTGAGTTCGGCGCCGTCACCTTCCTCCTGCAAGCGTTAGGCGAGAAACGACCGACCATCGTCGAGAAATGACCGACTACCAGACGCACACAGCGCATGCACTCTCGATCCCGCTAGGAAGGGACGTTCTCTCGACGAAACACCATCCTCACTCTCGCAAATGCGGCACTCCTGCTGAAAGTCTACATGATCCCTTGCCCTCCTCCAGTTGTCGTTTTCTTTATACGTTTTCTGGCGACATGTTTGCGCACTACTGTGCCCTCCGAGACCGATGGCTACTATGGGTGGACGATACAGAAAGCACAGAAGGGCACACAAGACACGCCACAAGCACCCTCTTTGCTGCATCCACACCCTTCACACCACCAAAAAGACTCCAAACCCCGTTTTCGCCCGAATCAGGTACTACCACGACAGCGATACCCCCCCCCCTTCAGAGCCCCGTATTCTCGAGGACGCGGAGTCAATGGTCTAACCGTTAGGGCATGCAAAAGAGTATGCCCCCCCCACCCCCGTAGTTCACCTCCGCCTGCCTCAGCAGCCCCTTCTCCCCGAAGTACTGCCCCGCGAGCAGCCGGCATCCCCTCCTCGACGCCGCCGGAGACGCAGACGACCCGGCGATACCGATATCACTACCGCCGCCACCGCGTGGGTCCCCCTTCGGCCCTGTCGTCGCTACGGCAGCACCGGCGGCGGCGGCGGCGGCAGCAGCAGTAGTAGCGCTGGCGGTGGCAGCAGCAGCAGGGCCGCCGGTAGTAGTAGCGCTGGCGGCGGCGGTAGCAGGAGCAGCAGCAGGGTCTCCGGTAGCAGCCGTAGTAGCGTCGGCGTCGGCGGCGGCGGCGGTGGCGGGAACCTCGACGGAGCGCTCGACGGCGGGGACTTCTCCGACGGCGAGGAGCTCCCTGGGGGCCCCGAGGACGACGTAGAAGCGGCGGCAGGTGGTGCCGGCGGCCGCGATCACCTCTCCCTGATATTGTGTCGCCGCCGTTGTTGAGTGAACGTGCAACGTGGAGCAAACAAACGAACGAACGTGCCGCGTGATTGATTGCCACCTGGCCTGTTTCGGTGGATGATGGATACGGACGGGTTCGGCTAGATACCGCTGCGAAGCAGAAACAAAAGAGAGATAGATCGAAACATAACTTAGTACACAGAGAGAGAGAGAGGCAGAGACCGAACAAAAGTGGCATTTCGATGCAAGGGGCAAGCAGACTGAGAGAAAGATAGAGAGGAAGCGAGAGCGAGAAGTAGAGAGAGAGTCAAACAGACAGAGACAGGGACAGAGAGAAGAAGGCAATTCTCTGCCAGCCCATTCCTAAAAACAAGAAAAGAAAGGCCAACGCTTTCTGGAACCTGTGCGATGGCTAGCTGGGAAATACCAAATAGCTGAAATCGTAGTACAGCCTGTCTGTCTCACCCGCTGTGCTCGCTGACGATTTCCATTGCATTTCGAGAAAATCTCCAAGAGCACCGTAAGAGAGAGGCACGAACACCAATCCGTGTTCGCGCACAACAACAACAACAATAGACAACAAGGTTCTCTACGCAAACCCCAGGCCGGCCGCCACCACTCACCTTCGTGTATCTCGTGATGGTCATGGGCTTCATCATCTTGAGCTGGAGCTCCGCCGTGAGCGTGTCGAAGTTGAGGCCCACCACCGCCCCGAGCCCCTTCCGCAGGGCGAGGTTGGCCTGCATGTACCTAATCCGGGCGGGGTACGCAATTGGACGGGGTCGAACAGGGGTACACATGGCATACTCAGGAGGAAACTGGGCAGGGTCAAACGGGGGGCACAGTGAATCAATTCCAAGTACCCCGGGATAGGTTGGGGGCAAAACAGGGATGCACTGGGTCGGATCCCATCACCATGCTCTTGGCTGTAGGGTCCGGGTGGAAGGGGTCACGGTGGGCCGGGCTGGGCGGCACATCAGACGGGGTTGGGTTGAAACATGGCAGCACGGCAGGCGTGAGCAGCCCTCCGTAGCACCCGCTAGGTGCCAACCGTTGTCTCCGACACGACAGCGCGCACCCGGCACTATGTAGCGGATGTCAAAAAGCTTATCTCTCCGCGCTCGAATAGCAGGGGCACCCGACCCTACTGCACCGACACATACCGCTGGCGTTGTATCGAACTGGCGCCACGAGACCGAGAGCGGACACACCCAAGAACAAACACCACTCATTCACCGAAAAACTGCATCCCACATCACCTGACAACCATAAAAAAAACGCCTCTGTGTCCAATTCTCTCTCGCTAACCTTTGATCCTTCTTTGGCAATGATCGCATGTGAGGCGGCAGTGGAGGCAACCGCTCCCTCTGGTGGTGGTGGTGGTGGTGGTGGCGGCGGCGGCGGCTGCCTCCACCGCCCTTGTCACCGTCGTGGCGATGGTGTCTTTTCTTGCCCGGGGTCACCTCACCCTTCCCAACCACGGGGCCCCCGTCACCGCTATCCAATCCCCCCGCTGTCGCCGTCCCTGGTATCGCCTCCCCCACACTACAACTCCTTCCATCATCGTCTAGCTCGCGCGGGACAGAGCTCGAAGAAGAGGAACAAGGGGAGGAAAAGGAGGAGGAGGAGGAGGACGAGGACGAGGACGAGGTGTCCCGGAAGAAATCTTCGATCTCGCGCTTGCTGAGGGCACCGATCTTGCTTCCGCCGGGGCTGCTGCTGCGGTTGCCGGTGTTTTCGGCTCTTCCGCCGCCGCCACCGCCGCTCCCCCCGCCGCCCCCATCGTTCTCCGGATGGAACGACACCCCGTCACTAGACTCCAGGAGAAAGTCGGTAACCTTAAAGCGAAGGAAAGAAATACGATTCAAACCGCAAGACAAGGGTTGAGTGTATCATCAATCAACTCAAGTTTCGTCGGTGTTTCGTGTCGGTCTTCGATCGTCTTGATTTGCGCGCGCGCGCGCGGGGGGGGGGTTAGACGACCAGCTGAGTGTTGCCAGCTTTACTTGTTGTTGTTCGTTGCTGCTGCTGTCATGACTTCAAAAAATGCTCCGGCTTCTGCTACCCGGACGCTTCCTGCTCCGTCCTACCGCACAACTCGCATAAAACATTTCGGCCATATATCAAATCGTCACCGGGTGTGCTAGTTGTGTGGGGTGCGCGATATCATACGTCACCTTTTTCCCTGACCTGAGAGCAGTTTCATATTTTGGGCTCTCACGGCGACCGCTCAAAGTAATACCACCGGGCGGGAGCGGTATTGTGTTACTGGGGGTGTTATCTTATGTCATGTGGGTGTGTTATCTTGTGTAGTGGTAATCTGCGTTTTTTCCAGCCTGCCGAGAAGCGACGCGGAACGCTGAGCAAGGTGTCTGCTGCAGCTACAAGAGCAAAAAACAGAAACAACCACGACAATTTCGTCGGCTCGGGCATCATCTCGAAGGGCGTCTTTCTTTGAATGCGTGTATTTTTTCTGGGAAACACAACGGGAGCACGCGATTTTTCGTCGAAAACGCACCCGCAACAGCAGGATGATGACACTCACGGCTGGCTGTCGGCCCGACGCGCCCAAGGCAAAGACTCGACGTTGGGAGTGAACATAATCAAAACTATCTAGTCTTCGATTTGGGTTGGGTTGCGTCACGTCGAGTGTTTTATTTCTCGGTCTATACTGAAGTGATGTGTTTGAACGCTACGCATATATGTGCACTTGTGGCGACCGCATTCGCTCCATGGCGGAAGGTCGGGCTCGAAAGAGGTTGAAAACGATCGAGGACGACGCTTGCCACGGCCATCAATCGCCGTCACCCCCTGCATTCAATATGTACTTCTTCTTTTCACGCCGCACGCATGCCATGGTGAACTCCTAAGTAACACACACAAAAAGCACAGCCCCCCATCCCCCGAGTTGCGACTACGGCATGCGTTTACATGAATTCCCCCCCCCCCCTCCGCGAAGACCACTTGGAGATATACGGGAAGTTGAAAGAAGGGCTAGGGATGAAGAAGTACTTGGACGGCCCCATGGACTATGCGAAAAAGCTGAAATTGCAATTTCGAGTAGGCGATCTGGACTTGCCAGAACGGAGGAAGAGGTATACCAGCCGTAGGAGAGAGGAAGAGGAGGATAGACACACATGTCCATGTGGCAAATCGGAGGAGAGTAGACCCCACATAGTTGGGGAGTGTGAGTTGTACAGGAAGGAAAGAGAGGATCTCGAGGAGGAAATGAGACAGAGAGGGTGTGACATGGACAAGTTTGGTAAATTAGACAACAGCGAAAAAACGATCGCGATAATTGGGGATAGATGGTGGGCACAAGAGACCCTAGAGGACGGGGAAAAGATGTGCAAGAAATTTTTATGGAGTTTGTGGCAGAAACGTAAAGAGCTCCCAAATGTTGGTGGTGTCTCTAGTAGGTGTAGGAACGGTGCTCCGTCTCGAAAGGGACGCGTGGTCAATGGTCAAATGACTACGGCAAGCAACAAATGAGTACGCCCCCCTCCCCGAATACCTCAAACGGCGCTTCGGGCTTGGTAATGTGCGAGCCTGGTCCGGTGAGAACCCGGCGTGCTCCGTCCCGGCTTTATAAGGATGCGAGGTCAATGGTCTAAAGACTACGGCATGCACGACTATGAGTACACACACCCACACCACCCACCCACCTCGTCGTCGGTCGTGGAGGGGCTACTCCCGAAGGTGATAAGCGAGTTGCCCCCGGGGCTGTCCAGCGACTGCTGGCCGTGCTCGACGGCGGCCCGAGCTCTCGGGCTATCCCCGGGCGAACCGTGCTCGCCGCCGCTGCCGCCACCGCCACTCCCAACGCCGTGGTATCCGCTGTTCATGTCGGCCACGTTCAACGGAGAAAGGTCCGGCCGCACCCGTTGTTGTTGTTGCTGCTGCTGCTGCTGGGGTCGAGTGTCGCCGCCGCCGCCGCCGCCGCCACCGCCACCGGCAGTGGCACCGCCGTTGGCGGGACGTCTATCGCCGTCGTTGTCGGCTGCTGGCCGGGGTAGACACCGCGCAAGGCCGGCGATGTCCCGGATGTCGAGCATCAGCGACCGGAACTTTCCCAAGAGGGGCGGCGCAATCTCGACCTTTCATAAATTAATTGTTATTTTTGTTTTATAGAAACGGAAGGAGGTAGGGAATGGGCCGGCGGCGGGGGAGGGTCGTTAGAACAAACGTTACTTCCTCGGGGTTCTTTCTGCGTCAACTCAAGACCTTGCCCTTCCACGCTGCCGCGAAAAACAATGCGACTCATTGATTGGCTTCGAAGAGGGTCTTCGGGGGGCAAGAAACAACACCCCGGTCGCGCTTTTGAACCGATACATACGAGATCTACTACAGTGTATAGTTGTTCGATACCAGAGCAGTGCTACTGAACATTGACTCGGACATGGCCATATGCTAACATTTCCACGACAATCCACCTTAATGGAAGTCAGCGGTGACTTGTAGTCTAGTGGATATGCTGTGCATCTCAACGGCCATCGATTCAGATCATGGGGAAAACCCGCGCGCGCCGTGTCCACACACGCACACAGAGCGAAAAATACCCACCGCGAGCCGAAAACACGCATCATGCCATGCGTGGGTGGAGAGCTGTGCAAAAAAAACAACACAGCAGTAGACGTGGAGCTGGGTCCGACCAAGGGGCATCGTTGTCGTTGTGTCGCTGTTTCGACCGCATTTGGCACTTCGTTTTCATGAGGGTTTGCCCCACGTGAGGTAGGGGCGCGTATGCACACGATTTTCAAGTCTTTGTTGGAGCCTTGCCTTTTCAAATCCGCGCCACTACTTTCAACTCTCCCCGCGAACCTGAGACCGATAATCCCCCCCCCCCCCCCCCGCCTGTGAGGTTGGAGGGTGGATGGGTCGAGGTAGGGGTGGCTCTTGTGGCCTTGGGCTGTACAGAGCAGGGACTTGTTAATGCGGTACATCCTGTGAGCTTGTGGTCTTCGGTCCTACCGACGCGACCAGCGCTGGAAGAGAGCGGTGTAGCCGCTACCGGCGGTGTCGGGTGACTACCACTACGTGGGGGAGGGAACCATAAAATAAACGAAACATTTCCTCGGTGCGGATGATGCAATACAAGTATTCAATATTAGTGCGTCCTCCAGCCGCCGCGGCCGGAGGACCTCGCATGAAGGATACTGCCCCGCCGGTGCTGAGAGCCCCCTCAATGCCGGGGGGGGGGGGGGGGGGGTACCCTTTTGTTTTGCATGCCTTTACGGTTAGTCCCTTGACCCCCCGTCCCCCAGGGGGGGGGGGGGGGGTTTCCCCCCAAATTTTCCCCCCCCCCAGGGGGGGGGGGGGGGGGGGGGGCCCCCAAATTCTCTAAAAATTTTTCCGCCTTTCCCGGGATTTGGGGGCAAACAAAAAAAAAGAGTTTTGTTTTTGGTTTTTTCCCCCCTTCCAACGGGGTCCCCCCCCCTGGGAAAAATTCCCCCAGGTCCCCCCTTTTTCCCAA